CAGCTAGAGCACCTTCTGTGAATATTAAAATCCACACCAATCTGTTGCCATTAGGACACAGTACGCCTACCCCGTAGGGTTTCCAAAGCTGTAATCTCCGTGGCAGCCGGCTGCTTCATCGTTCTCCCCTGCAGCTGCTGGGGGATTGGCATCACTCACCTTGCGGTTACCCACCAAGCGGCTCACCACCTCGAAAACCCTGTGGGCAGCTGTGCTCTGCCACGTGGGGTCACTAGAGTTGAAGTGGACTCAGGGCCACCCAATGGCACAGCAGTGTGGCTTGTATACAAGCAAGTGCACAGACCTCAGTTTGCACAGACCTCTGGCCGCGGGCACACACGTGTGCACAGTCATGGCTCAGAGTAGTGCTGGCGTCTGCATGATGAGTGCTGGCCACATACACCCCAGACCCAGATAGCAAGTATCTCTGCCACCACGGTTCATGCCCCAGGTAGCCACGGTTCTGAGCTCTGCCGTGGGTCAGCATTAAGGCCCCAAGCGCTCGTGAGGGTTCGCTTTTTCTTTCCTGGCTCAGAGTCGCGTCCCTCAGTCACGCGCAGGGGCAGGAAGCCGTCGCTTCTCCCTTTGCCTTTGCTGCATTGTTTTCTGCTGCATAAAGCTTCCGCGGTTTGTCCAGCCAGCCAGTTGCTCTGCGGGGAAGCCGGGTGGCTTATGTCCTAGGGGCAGTGTGAGCAAAGCCACTAAGAGCATCTCGTCCATGCGTCCTCTGTGACTACGGCCCTCGCCTCTGTTCCTGCTCTCCTAGCAGGAGGGCCGTCGGACCTGCACGCGCGCCTCCACGCTCACAGAGCGCCCGTCTGTTTTCTGGATGCCGGGCCGCTTTACTGCCGCAGCCACAGCACCCCACGCCCTCCCCGTGCTCTATTCCTAGCCCTGCACCTCGCCACCCACGTGCTGTTGGTGTTACACCTCGTGCTGTTACAGGTATGACTCGCTTCACGTCCATGGTGCAGTAGGGCACAGTGCGATTTGCACGCTCTGCAAACCCGTGTCCGTGAGCTTGTCTCTGTGTCCTCTTACCGGTGTCTCCGATGGCCTGTTGTTGATGGTGAGGAAGTTCGTTCACCGGTTTTGTCTTTTAGGGTATCACTGTTTGGGGGTCTGTTGAAGATTTTCCGACTTGGGAAGGTCTCCTCGTGTCATGTTGAGGACTGTGGGCCGTCGCACGTGTAGTGTTGTGTACGATGCAAGGTGCAGGGTCGAGGATTTTCTTTATTTTTAATGTGGCTGTTTCACTGAGGCAGTACTGTTTTAGTCAGAGGACTCATTTTCCTACTGGATTGCTGTCCTGCCTTTGGTCCAAATCACTTGACTGTGTTGGGCCTGGTTCTGAGCCTCTTCTGTTCCGTTGACCCACTTCTTGCTCACACTGAGAGCCACGTTGTCTTAACCCCTGTAACTTTATAGAAAGTCCTGCAATCTCGTGATGTGTGTCCTCCAGTCTCTCCGCCCCCAATTCCCTTTAATGTCCGTTTTAGAATCAGCTTGTAGTTTCTACAAAAACCCAGCTGGGTGTAGGTGGGGATGCGCTGACTCTGTGGGCCATTTTGGGGTTGACTGACAGCATCGAGTCCCCAGCTGTGGTGGGACGTGTGTCCCACCTTCCACTTGGGTCTTCTGTCATTTCTCTGAGCAGTATTTTGCTTGTAGATCTTGCACTTTCTGTTAGATTTATTTATGGGTTGATTTTTGTTTGCTTTTTAGACAGTACACGTTAAAATTTCTTTCTTTGATTGTTTGTTGCTAGTATATTGAAATATAACTACTTTCTATTTTTGGTACTGAATCTGGATCCAGCAACTTTGCCAGGTTTTCACATTTAATATTTGTAGATTCTGTAAAGCTTTTGCATTTTTTGCATCTCAAATCATATGATGTCAAATGGACAGTTTGGCCTCTTCTTTTTCAATCATTCTGTCTTTTATTTCTGTCTCTCATCTTCTGCATGGGTTGGGGCCTCCGGCACATGGCTAGTTTGGATAGCCTTTTCTTGTTTCCAGCCTCAGGGAGGAAGGATCCTGATTTCTCATCAGTAAGTAAGATGTCACCTGCAGAGTTTCTTCAAGTAAGGATGTACCTCGTCTCCTGACCTTTTCTTCAATCACAACACGTGTACCGTCTTTAGGTAGCCAGACAGATGTTAGTTGCCGTCAACTTGGCTCCAGCTCACAGCAAACCCATGTATAACAGCAGAACCTGCCAAGTCCTGCACCGTCCTCAACTAGTGGGTGTATCTGAGCCTCTTGCTGTCAGCCACGTGTCAGTCCATCTCACTGAGGGTCTTCCTGGTGCCTGCTGACCCTCTGATTTGCCAAGCATCATGTCCTGGTCCAGGGACCGTCCCTCCTGGTCACATGTCACAGTACCTGGGACACAGTCTTGCCATCTTGGATCCTGGGGAGTGTTCTTTCTGTCCTTCACCTGAAGCTACTTGGTTTGTCCTTCTAGTTGTCCATGGGGTATTCAGTATTCTTCGCCAGCACCACAATTCATGGTGTGTGTGTGTGTGTGTGTGTGTGTACCTGTAACCATACTTACAAAGCCGAATTCAATTTGCTCATAATGTATTTTGTTTAGGATTCTGCCTCTCCGTTCCTGAGCAATGTTGGCCTGTAATTTCCCTTCCTTGCGTGGCTGGCAGGTTTCCGAACTGAGGTCTGCTGACTTTGTCAGAGTTGGCAAATGCCCCTTCCTTTCTCAACGAGCCCGGATACCACTGAAATGATCCGTTCTGTAAACGTTGGGAGAATTCACTGGTAGCCGCCTGGGTGTGGAATTTTCTTGGCCAGGAAGTTTTGGTTTCTTTTTTTAATTTTTACTGTGATTTGGGTGAAAGTTTACAGAGCAAATTCGCCTTCCATACAGCAGTTCATACACATTTTGTTGCATGACATCGAGTACAATTTCCCAGAATGCAACAGCTCTCTTCCCACTTCTCCCATAGTTCCTGCTTCCGTGTCCTTCCTTCCTGTGCATTCCTGCCTCCCAAGCTGTCTCCCACCGCAGACACCGCCCCTCTGTTCTCCCACGATTCATACTCTCAGGAGTGCATCTACTTGATGTCAGTGTTCACCGCGTGCGTGTGTCTGCTGTTTGACTGGAAGCTACAGACGTGAACTCAGTTCTAGATCCAAAGGGTAACTAGGGGCCATAGTCTTGGGGCTCTCACCAGGCTCTTTCAGACCAACAAGCCTGGTCTTCTTTATTTTATTACTTTTATGATTCTGAGTTTTCTTCCACATAGTTGTCCCACTCTATCCTGGATTTCCTGCACCGATCCCTTTCTGAGTGATTGACAGTGGTAGCTGGGCGCCATCACTCAGTGTATCAAGATGTGGGTATGTACGTATGTGTGCATGTATGGTCTCGCGGTCCTACAGGCCCAGCACTGCATGGTCCACTCCCTTGGACTAATTGTCTCCAGGAGTCCTTGGTTTTCTCTGTTCTTCTTTGCTCCGGACGAGGAGAGACCCATCGTTGCAATCCAGACGGCTGCCTGCAAGCTTTGAGGACCCCGGTCGCTGCTCGCCACGGTGGGACGTGGAGCAGTGTTCCGTGTGTGCTATGGCAGCTGGGCTTGATGTCCCCTGCGACCCTGGCCCCAGCCCTCCGGTCCTACCGCTCGGTCTGTCGCGGTGGCTGGTTGTGGCCGAGAAGGTCTAACTCTGGCAGGGAAGTTTTCAATTACGTGCTCAATTTCTTCAAGAAGCAAGATGATTCCGATGCGCTCTTCTGTTGGTTCTGGTTCGGGGTGTTACTCAGTTAATTTGCCCACTTCACCTAAGTTATCAAATTTATCAGCACAGAGTTGCTCATAATATCCACTTATTACCTTTTCTTTTTCTTTGGTTTTTAATTTTATTTGTGGGGAAAATATACATGGCAAACCCCACTCCCAGCCACGGTCTCCAGACATAACGATCGACGGCCTTGGTTCCGTTCGCTGCCTTACACAGTGTCCTTCTTTCTGTTCTCATTTCACTCATGTCGGCTCCGTCCGCCGGCTCCCTCCGCCTCCCACGTCGGCTCCCTCACCCGGCTCCCTTCACGTCTCTGCTTCATGATACCTCTTGACCCTTTGGTCTTAATAGAATTTTTTTTTAAAAAAATGCAGAACTCAAGGGTGACAGTCCTTATTCTTTGGGCTAAGCTGTTCCTTAGTTTTCACTTCAGGTGATGGATTCATTTCAGGGTTTGAAGAGCAGCTCAGGATCTGGGCCTTGGGATTTCCTCCGCTTGAATGAAGGGGTCCAGCACATGCTGCCTCTTAATGTGGGTAGGATCCGTAGTGGTGTCTCCTCGTTCCTGACACAGGCGATCAGTGTTTTCTTTCCTTTGTTCTTCAAGAGTCTTTGAAGGCTTGTTGGTTTATATTTGAAATCCTCTCAAAGAGTTGACTTTGGATCTTAGTGGTGTTCTCAGTTGATGGTTTGATTTTTTGATTCATTTCTGCTCTTTATTGTTTTTGCCCTTTTTGTTTCTGAAACGGAAGCTTAGAACCCATGTTCTAACTTAGAACCTTTCTTCCTGTCTGGTTCACGTGTGTGAGGCTCTGGCCTTGCCATGGGTCACGACTTTCCTGCATGCATCTTCCTGATGCCAGATGTCTTGATAGCGTTGGCATTGAAAGCGCCTTCTGAGTTCATCGTCACGTGCAGACACAGTGTTTCATGTCCAAACGTTCGGGGATTGGCGTGTTGCCTTTCAGCGCAGCCACCACGGTGCTCAGGGGCTGTGTTCTGGGTGCGGTGCTGTGGCCGTGTGTTCACGGCTCTGTTGACAGTGGGAAGAAGCATATGACCCAGCCTGCAAACATGGAACCATGTTGCATTTCGAGGAAGCGCCTTGCCCCTGTGCTGCAGCTGGTCAGTTTTAGTTTATGTTCTGAGTTACTGAGCAGCAATGTTCCTTCATGTGTCAGAACGGGAGAGCTGTGAGGGAGTCAGGGTTGGCACATGTTCTCTTCTGCCCCGATGCAGGCCTGTGGCTGCCCGCTGTATTGGAAGGGGCCGCTGTTCTACGGTGCCGGGGGAGAACGTACGGGCTCCGTCTCCGTTCACAAGTTCATCGCCATGTGGAGGAAGTGAGTCCTGGCCCCAGGTGGGTGGGGCGTGTGAGAGCGATACAGGGGAGCTCACGTGTGGACCCACACACGAGTGGACCTGTAGGCATGTGGACGCTCAGACACGGCATATGGAAGTACAGATGTACAGCTAAGTGGGTGCGTGGACACATGGACATTCAGACGTGGGTGTGGATGCTCACACACATCAAAATGTGGATATATGGCCAAGTGGATATGTGGACAGTCACACACGTGGATGCTCACACATGCATGGACATGTAGACGCTCGGACAGGGGGACTCACAGACCTGTGGACACATGGGCATATGGATGTTTGCACATATGACCAAATGGATCTGTGGAAATATGAACATCTGGATCCTAAGACGTGGGGACATCCAACACATGGGTGTAGGGACATATGATGCCTTGACGTAATGGGTATTGAGACGTACAATGCTTGCACATGTGCACGCTCAGCACGTGGGCGTAGGGACGGGGACGCTCGGACGTGTGCACGCTCAGCACGTGGGCGTAGGGACTGTGACGCTCGGACGTGTGCACGCTCAGCACGTGGGCGTAGGGACAGGGACGCTTGGACGTGTGCACGCTCAGCACGTGGGCGTAGGGACGGGGACGCTTGGACGTGTGCACGCTCAGCACTTGGGCGTAGGGACGGGGACGCTTGGACGTGTGCACGCACAGCACATGGGCGTAGGGATGGGGACGCTTGGACGTGTGCACGCTCAGCATGTGGGCGTAGGGTGTGGGACGCTTGGACGTGTGCACGCTCAGCATGTGGGTGTTGAGACGAACGACACTTGGACATGTGGACACTCAGATGGTTGGCTCAGACACGTGGACTCACAGACCTGTGGCTGTGTGGGCCTGTGGACGCTTAGACATGTGAACACTTGGATATGTGGACATATGAACATCTGGATATTCAGACATGGGCACGTGGATGTTCGTACATATGGGCATAAGGACGTGTGATGCTTGGACAAGTGGACACTCAGATGGTTGGACTCTCAGACCCATACACTCATGGAATTGTGGGCATATGGATGCTGGGACGTGAGGGCATGTGAACATCTGTGTGTTCAGACATGGATATGTGGACATTCGTACACATGGGCATAGGGACATATGATGATTAGACAAGTGGACACTCAGATAGTTGGACTCTCAGACACATGAACTCACAGACTTGTGGGTGTATGGACCCTGGGAGGTGTGGCCACCGGGACGTGTGGGCATGTGAACACCTCTGTGCTCAGACATGGGTGTGTGGACACTTGTACACATGGCCATAGGGACATAGGACTCTTGGGTGTGTGGATGCTCAGATGGTTGGATTCTGAGACACATGGACTTGTGGACATTGGGATGTGCAAACATTCAGACGTGTGGGCATATGAATATCTGTGCTCAGAGGTGGGTGTGTGGACACTTGCACACATGGGTATAGGGACATACAATGCTTGGACACTCAGATGGTTGGAATCTTGGACATGTGGATTCACAGACCTGTGGGCGTGTGGGCATGTAGACACATGGTCGTGTGGACACTCAGAGGTGAATGTGTGGATGTGTGGGAATACAGACATCTGAACACTCAGAAGATGTGTGCATGTGGACTCTCGTACACATGGGCTCATGGACTGTGGACATGTGGACGCTGGGAAGTGTGGGAGTACAGACATCTGAGCACTCAGACGTGTGTATGGACTCCTGTACACATGGGCTCGTGGACCTGTGGACACTTGGTTGTGTGGACGTTCAGACATGTGGATGTATGGATGTGTGGGAATACAAACGTGAACGCTGAGGCATGTGCATGTGGACTCCCGTACACATGGACTCACGGACCTGCAGACGTGTAGACGCTGAGAAGTGTGTGAATACAGACATCTGGACACTCAGATATGTGTGTGTGGACTCTGGTAAACATGGGTGTAGGGATATAACGACACTTGGACGTGTGGATACTCAGATGGTTGGACTCTTGGACGTGAAGACTCATGGACCTGTGGGTGTGTGTTTATGCTTGGTCATGTAGGTGTGCAAATGTAGACGCTTGGGTATGTGGGCGTATGAACATCTGGATGCTCAGAGGTGGGCGTGTGGACGCTCATACACATGGGTGTAGGGACATACGATGGTTGGGCTCTTCATGTTGATGACTGGACTCTCAGACGTGGGGACGCTCAGACATGTGAAGGCTTGGATGTGGGTGTGTGAATGCTTGTGCACATGGGTGTAGGGACATACGATGGTTGGACTCTTCATGTTGATGACTGGACTGTCAGACGTGGGGACACTCAGACGTGGGCACTTGGATATGTGGGTGTGTGAATATCTGGACATTCAGACATGGGTGTGTAGGCCCTTGTACACATGGGCGTGTGAATATCTGGACATTCAGACGTGGGCGTGTAGGCACTTGTACACATGGGTGTAGGGACATACAATGCTTGGACCTGTGGATGTTGATGACTAGACTCTCAGATGTGTGGTCACTCACACATGTGGACTCTTGGGTGTGTGGGCGTATGAACATCTGGACGCTCAGATCTGAGAATGTAGATGCTCATACTAGTGGGTGTAGGGACGTATGATGCTCGGACCTGTGGGTGCTGATGACTGGACTCAGACGTGTGGGTGCTTGGATTTGTGGGTGTGTGAACATGCGGACACTCAACATGGGCACGTAGACGCTTGTACACATGGGTGTAGGGACATACGATGCTTGGACCTGTGGATGTTGGTGACTGGACTCTCAGACATGTGGACATGTGGGCATGTGAACATTTGCACACTCAGACACTCTTGGATGTGTGGGCTCACGGACCTGTAGGTGTGTGGATGCTCGGACGTGTGAACATGTGGAACCTGGACACGTGGCCGTAGGATGCTCGGGTCTGGATTCACTCACTGGAGGTCTGCCTCGGGCGTGTCCTTCCGCCTCGTGATGGCGGGGGAGGGGCTGCAGGCCCAGGCGCCCACGTGTGTCCGCTCTCAAGGCCGTCTCTCCCTGCGCCCGCCCGTGGGCGGTGGGCATCTCTTTCCCTGCAGGATCCTCCAGAACTGTCACGATGACGCTGCCAAGTTCGTGCACCTGCTCATGAGCCCGGGAAGCAACTACCTGGTGCAGGAGGACTTTGTGCCCTTCCTGCAGGTAACACTCCGGGTCCCTGACCGTGGCCGCTTGGCAAGGGCCGAGCTCATGTTTCTGGGAACAGCACCTGCACTCCCTCCATGTCCACAGCTGGGGAGGTGCGCTCATGAGACATGCGGGTCAGCCATGGGGCTCGTCCTGCGGGGAGCAGGGCAGGCACACGGTGTGTGCTCTGGAGAGAGATTACAGAGGACGCGATGCCACCTGTCACTCTGCTGTTGGAACGCTTCACGTAACTCCAGAGGCCTGGTAGTTAGCACCTACCCAAAGGTGAAGGGTTCGGACCCACCCCATCGCTCTGCAGTAGAAAGACCTCGAGATCTGCTTCCGTGAAGATGGTGGCCTGAGTGTGGGATGGACCCTCAGCTGCTGCGTGTGAAGATCACGCCCAGGGCAACAGTGTGGGGCCGTCCTGCCGGGTGACAGGTGGCTCACCACAAGTGACAGTCTGGTCACCAGCACCCAAACACATCAGCAGAGTAGCGTGATCACAAGTGATTTATGCTACGTCGTCGTAATTCTGCCCCAAATGAGGGGCTCTCAAAATTTCCATTCTAAAATTCCAGATGAACTTAAGTGTTGGTTTTTATGATCTTTCTGTTTGTCGAGTTACACTGTACTATGAGAACCAAAAAACCCAATGCTGTTAAGTTGATTCCAACTCCTAGTGATCGCATGAACGTGGTGTGGGTCTGGGTACTGTTTTGTTAAGTTCTGTGTGGTGGTCACTGTGAGTCAGAGCCAACTGGAGGCCAACTGAGGGCAACAGCATCAGTTCTTCCAAAACATCAGTTAAAAAAAATCAAGATTCATCCTTAAACCAAACCACACCCACTGCTGTGGAGTCCATTCCGACCCACAGCGCCCCTAGAGGACAGAGTGGAACTGCACTACAGGGTCTCCAAGGCTGTCAGTCTTCACAGAAGCAAAGCCCAAACCACATCCACTGCCTGGAGTCCATTCCGACTCACAGCGCCCCTAGAGGACAGAGTGGAACTGCCCACAGGGTCTCCAAGGCTGTCAGTCTTCCCAGAAGCAAAGCCCAAACCTCACCCACTGCCCTGGAGTCCCTTCTGACCCACAGCGCCCCTAGAGGACAGAGTGGAACTGCCCACAGGGTCTCCAAGGCTGTCAATCTTCACAGAAGCACACTACCTCATCTTTCTCCCATGGAGTGGCTGGTGGGTTTGAACCTTTTGGTTAGTGGCTGAGTGCTTTGATCACTGCGCCACTCCTTACCGTGAGAGGCTGTAAGATTACAGACGTTTCAGCTAGTCCGTGGGCATGATCGCATCGTTGTCCCTGAGTACCGGTGTGGTTGAGGTCTTATAGGCAGGAACCCTTCAGCACAGGGCCCAGGTGGTGAGGGGAGGGGGTGCATGCTGGTCCCATGCACACGCACAGACACATCTGTGCCCTGTCATCCCGTGTGCAGGACGTCGTGAACACGCACCCCGGCCTGTCCTTCCTGAAGGAGGCGTCGGAGTTCCACTCACGCTACATCACCACCGTGAGTGTCTGCCCTGGTGACACGCACAGTCCCACCTGTTACAGTGAACACCTGCCCCCAGGTCCCCATGTTCCTCGCCAGCATCCGTACCTCATGGTCTGTGGTGGTTGGTGGGACAAGACTCTGCAGGGCGTGGACACTTTGGGGTCCCAGCTCTGCCGCAGTCAGACGCCTCACGGCCAGACGCCGACACACGGAGCGCCCGAGGACAGCTGGGTATGACGCCCCAGCTGGAAGGGAGGATCCCAGGAGCTGGGACTGAGAAGGTGCCCGTTCTGAGGGAGCACGTGTGGCCGTGTCTTCTAGGGCAGATGCTCCGAGCACAGCCCCCTTGTGCCTGCCTTGTCCCAGGTCCCCCCAACTCCCTGTGTGTCCTGTGAAGGTGGTGGACGGCTGCCCCACTAGTCCCTTGGGGCTGCTGCCCCTGCGTCCTGCGCACACCCGCCCTCAGGTCCCCGTGTCCGGCTCACGCCCCGTCCCCTGCAGGTCATCCAGCGTATATTCTACACCGTGAACCGGTCCTGGTCGGGGCGGATCACGTGCTCCGAGCTGAGGAGGAGCACCTTCCTGCAGGTGGGCACCGTCCAGGGGCGTCACGGGGCACGCTGCCCACGCACGGTCACCTGCTGGGGGCCAGCCCTCGGGGCACGGCTGGAGTCTGTCTGGGAAGAACCCTTCCTGTGGAAGTGGGTGGGTGTACTCTGTGCCCACACGACTGCTCCCACGGGAACCCACAGTCACCACTCCGCCCACCCCCGCATGGCTGCTCCCATCAGAACCCCAGCCACCATACACCCCATCCGCACACAGCTGCCCCCCGGGAAGCCGAGCCACCATGCACCCCTCCCCCACACGGCTGCCCCCCGGGAACCCCAGCCACCGTGCACCCCTCCCCCACACAGCTGTCCCCCAGGAACCCCAGCCACCATGCACCCCACCCCCACATGGCCGTCCCCCGGGAGCCCGAGCCACCATGCAGCCCATCCCCCGCAGCACGTGGCACTCCTGGAGGAGGAGCCCGACATCAACCAGCTGACGGACTTCTTCTCCTACGAGCACTTCTACGTCATCTACTGCAAGTTCTGGGAGATCGACACCGACCACGACCTGTTCATCGGCCCCGAGGACCTGGCCCGGCACAATGACCATGGTGAGGGGCCGCTGGGGCCGCGGCACCAGTGCTGCTGGACATCCCCTCCTTCCTGATGCCTGCTCCCCGCACGTGCTCTGCCCCTGCACATGCTCTGCCCCTGTACATGCCTGCTCCCCGCACGTGCCCTGCTCTGGGACACGTCGTTCTCCCGACGCATGCCCTGCTCTCAGCCGTGGGCCTCTCCCAGCTTGCCTTCCTGACACCGTGCTCCTGTACACGCCTGTGTCTCCCCCCAACAACACGACATGCAGCCCTGCTCCCGGACACATCCATGCCTTTCCTAGACATGCACTGGAGTGACTGTGCCCCTGCTTCCAAACACACTGTCTGTCCCCCGCACAACACGCACCCCTGCTTCCCACCATACCCTGGGGTGGACTACGCACCTGCTCCCAGAAGAACCCTTGCCTGCCTCAGACACTTGTAGCGCTGACCACAGCCTCTGCTTCATAGGGACACTCATGGGGACCCACTGCTGCTGTCCCTGCACCTGCCCCTCTGTACCCCTGCGCTCCCCAACACGGCCATGACTGTGGAGCCCCAGCCATCAGTGGGGTCTCCGTGTGGGCACCTGGGGGTGACGTGTGGCTGGCGGACAGCGCGTGGGCGGTGCACAGCATGTGGGTGGGCACCCGAGGTTGACATGTGGCTGGCGGACAGCGTGTGGGTGGTGCACAGCTTGCGGACACTTGGGGGTGACGTGTGGCTGGTGGGCAGTACATACATGTGAGTACCTGGCGGTGACGTGTGGCTGGCAGCAGCGTGTGGGTGGTGCACAGCGTGTGGGCACCTGAGGGCGATGTTCATGTGTCTGTTGGTCCTGAGCCTGCCCTGTCCTTGTCCCCCGAGCACTCTGACCGTGGTGGCCAGTGGTCTGACGCTGACAGCAAAGGCCTGTGGTGTCAGGAGGGCCACGTGGTGGCAGTGCGGTGCTCTGGGGCACTGCCCTCTCTCACTGTGGCACCATGCTTGTCAGAGCAGCCTCAAGGTTTCCTGTGGGCATGGTGGGTGGGCTGCCATGCTGGTGGAGACCATCTTGCGTAGTCCTCCTGACGCCGGCGTTCCCCATGACTGTTGTCCCAAGAAGTGGGCCCCCTGCCTGGGGCTCCTTGAGTGGGTGGGGCAGGTGAGGGACTGTCCCCCCAGCCTCATGGGGGAGGGTCACGTCCGTGTGCACTCCCGGCTTCTCCTGGTGGAGCTTCAGCAGAGGGCGCTCTTGTCACTGTCACAGTCAAGGCAGGAGTGAGGTGCTAGTCTGCCGTGTCCTGCTTTTGCAGGCTGCCCTAGGCGCCTTCAGCAGGGGTCTGCGTTCTGTTTGTCAGCAGAAGGGAAGCCCACGTCATCCTGGGGCAGACCTCTGCTGGGTGCCGGGATCAGGAGGTTACTTGATCCAGTACCCCGCAGGCCCACTGCCCATCCCGGCCGGGTGCTGGGGCTCACGGTCCCTCGGTTAGTGTCCCCGCAGGCCCACTGCCCATCCCGGCCGGGTGCTGGGGCTCATGGTCACTCTTGTGTTGCAGCAATCTCCACAAAGATGGTGGAACGGATCTTCTCGGGGGCGGTGACCAGGTGCGTCCGGCCATGGCGACTGCTGCCCCACGTGTGAGCCCAGCCCTGGGCCGACCCCCTCGAGTGCAAGTCACACTGTGCTTGCCATCTCTGACCCACGTGGCCACACCCCTCCGCCAAACCCTGCAGCCCCTCCGCCAGCCCCTGTGGCCGCAGGGGAGGGAGGCTGCTTGGGGTCAGGGAACATGTCCTCTTCAGGTCAGGCTGTCTGGCCTCTGGTTGGAGGGCGGGTGGAGCCTGGATGCAGATGGGAAGATGTCAGGGCTAGCCTTAGGCGAGTGCGGGTCTGCTGTGAGAACAGTGCTGGCTGACGGCCCCTCCCTGCGGCCCTCACCAGAGGCAGGAAGGTGCAGAAGGAGGGGAAGATCAGCTACGCCGACTTTGTCTGGTTCCTCCTGTCCGAGGAGGACAAGAAGACCCCCACCAGGTAGGTGGCTGGGGGCAGGCGCCATGCTGCCATGTAGGGGGGCGGGGCAGGCGTCGGGCGGCTGGAGCGAGTGGTGGGTGATGCACCTGTAAGTGGTAAGTGGCTGGCACACGTGCAGGGTGCACGTGCAGGCAGCAAGAGGCTGGTACAGACTTGGGTGACATGTGTGGGCAGCACGTGCATGCCAGAGACTTGTGGCCAGCATTTGTATGCAGGCGGCATGTGGCTGCTGTGTGTATGCAGGTAGCACGTGAGACGTGTGCGACGTGTACAGGTGGCATGTGAGCTGCATGTGCGTGGAGACCCTGTGTCAGTGACACGTATGTTGTGTGTGGCACCTTGTGGCTGGTGTGCACAGGTGGGGGGTGTGGGGCCAGTGGGCAGCGTGTGGGCGGTGCACAGCATGTGGGTGGAGCACAGCCTGCGGGCACCTGGGGGTGGTGTGTGGGCACCGTGTGCACAGCATGTGGGTAGTGGACAGCGTGTGGGCACCTGAGGCTGATGTGCGGGCAGCGTGGGTGGAGCACAGCGTGTGGGCACCTGGGGGTGACGTCTGGCCACTCTCCTGGCTGCCAGCATTGAGTACTGGTTCCGCTGCATGGACCTGGACGGGGATGGGGCACTGTCCGTGTACGAGCTGGAGTACTTCTACGAGGAGCAGTGCCGCCGCCTGGACAACATGGCCATCGAGGCCCTGCCCTTCCAGGACTGCCTCTGCCAGATGCTCGACCTGGTGCAGCCCCAGAGCCAAGGTGGGGCGGGGGCGGGGCCCCAGGCCGGGGGCCTGCAGGGTGGGGTGCATCCAGGGCAGTGGCCGGGGCATGGGGCCCTGACGCAGTGTGCAAAGGACCTGAGGTGGGGGACGCCAGCCTGGGCAGCACCTGAGCCCCCAGGGAGGGTTTGAGCCAGGGGGCTTAGCACCTAGCACGCTCCAGGCCTCGCTTGTACCATGGTAACCCCCCAGGCCCCGACAGCCTGGCCAACCTGTGGCCTCGGGCCAGTTCAAGTCCACTTCCCAAAACCACTGGTTCCTGCTGGGAGTGTAGCCTTGCCACTTTGAGCACACGTCCTCCCCCTCAGCCCACGTTCACCCCGCCGTGCCGACCACGCAGCCTCCCCTCGGCTCAGGGTCACCCTGCCGTGCCGACCACGCAGCCTCCCCTCAGGCCGTGCCAACCACGCAGCCTCCCCTCGGCTCAGGGTCACCCCGCCGTGCCAACCACACGGCCTCCCCTCGGCTCAGGGTCACCCTGCCGTGCCAACCGTGCATCTTTACCTCGGCTCGTGGTCACCCTGCCAAGTTGATGGCACATCCTCCCCCTCATCCCACGTTCCCCCTGCCACGTCGACCGCGCATCCTCACTCATGGCCTGTGGTCCATCCCCCTGCCACGTCAACTGCACATCCTCACCCACGGCCCATGGCCCGTCCCCCTGCCACGTTGACCACGTATCACGGCCTGTGGTCCCCCTGTCATGTCAACCACGAGTCCTGCCCCATGGCTCATGGTCACCCTACCATATGAACCATGTGTCCTCCCCCTCAGCCCATGGTCCTCCTGCCGCGTCCACCACCCGTCCTGCCCCTCGGCCCGTGGTCCCCCTGTCACGTCAGTGGCATGTCCTGGTTGTGAGCACTCAGGTGTGTGCCCTGCAGGGAAGATCACCCTCCGGGACCTGAAGAGGTGCAAGTTGGCCAGTGTGTTCTTTGACACGTTCTTCAACATCGAGAAGTACCTGGACCGTGAGCAGAAGGAGCAGGTGTCTCTGCTCAGGGTGAGTGTTGGGGCCAAAGCGTCCCCCCCACGGCGTCTTCCTGCTGTAACACGTGCGTCTCATCCAGGACACGGACAGTGACGGCCCGGAGCTCTCTGACTGGGAGAAGTACGCCGCTGAGGAATATGACATCCTTGTGGCCGAGGAGGCAGCCGGAGACCCATGGACTGACGGGTAAGATGGGAGGCCTCTGAGTCCATGTCGGGTTGAGCGCGTCCCAGCCCCCGTCCACACAGACACTCCCTGTGTGCAGGCCTCGGCCACGCCCTCCACCATGGCTAACCCCCAGGGGGTCCTGCCCAGGAGCCATGGGCTCGGAGACCCTGCTGCAGCCCTTTGCAGCTTTGGCAGCTCGCAGAACCGCTCTCATTCTGCAGAGTGGTTTGTCAGGTCTCCGATCGTTTGGATGAATTTTCCACGTGAGCTTTGAGGTAAAGGTCATGGTCCATGTCTGCAAGTGGACATGTGCTCGTTCCAACACCATTTCTGAAAAGCCCACCTGCCCTCCCCAGAGCGTCTGGGCAGCTTTGCTGACAGCGGATTGGCAGGCTGCATGGGACCTAGTCCTGAACCTCACTCTCTGTCCACTCTGTCAGACATCTGTGGAAGTCTGTCCACTCGCAGTACAGCTCCGTCTTATGGCTGTAGCTTTGTTGTGGTCCTCGGCATCGGGTCACGGGAGGCCTGGACTTTGTTCCCTTCAGGATGGTGTGTGATTCCTTTGTCTCTTGACGTGAGCTTTGGGTTTGGCCTGTCCGTTCCTCTGAAGAACACTGGAGTTGTGTTGACTTTTCGTTGTGTTGGGTGAGTTGACATCCCAGTGCCCTGACTTGGGTGAGTCTGGCATCTGCTTATCTGCCCGCTCTGCTCCATGGTCTGTGCGCCTCTTTGCATCAGTCCCTCCCTGTCCTGGTCGCCAGGGCCATGGAGGTGCTCATGGAATCAGGTGGGAGATCCCCCAGCTTTCCGCTCCCTGCGGGAGAGCCCGCCCACTTTCTTCTTCCTGTGGGACATCCCGCCACTTCCTATGGGAGATCCTGCCCACTTTCTTCTTCCTGTGGGAGATCCCACCAGCCGCCTTCTTCCTGTGGGAGATTCCGCCCACTTTCTTCCTGTGGGACATCCCGCCAGCCTTCTTCCTGTGGGAGATCCCGCCCACTTTTTTCTTGTTCAAAACTGTTGGCATTTTAGTGCTTTTGCCGTCACCTGAAAACTTAAGAATAAGCTTGTCTTTTTCTGAAAAAACTTCTGGAACTTTGTGTTCCTGTAAATGCAGACTGCTTTGGCCAGCCCTGGCACCTTCAACGTGGAGGTTCTCATCCGCGGACAGTCCCAGGATGCAGTTGGTGAACGTGCTCAGTTGCTCGCCTGAAGGTGGGAAGTGCAGGTCCCTGTAGAGTGGCCTAAGCGGTGGCTTGGAGGGTCCAGCTTCCAGTCGTTCACTGGTAGCCTGTACGCGCGTGACCTGTTTGGATTCCGTGGGAATCTCTGTGAGAGCGTTACATTGTCTGTGAACAGGGACTGTTTTGTTGCCCCCTTTCTCCTCAGCGTGCATTTTGTTACTCGTTTTCCCTTCCAGCCATACTGCCTGGAACGTCCAGTGCAGCACTGACCGCCAAGGGGACAAGGCACCTTCGCGTGTCCCCATCTTAGCGGGGACGCCTGTGACATGAGAAGAGCCAGCTTTGCGTGTCCCCCATCTTAGCGAGGACGCGTGTGACATGAGAAGAGACAGCTTTGCGTGTCCCCCATCTTAGCGGGGACGCGTGTGACATGAGAAGAGACAGCTTTGCGTGTCCCCCATCTTAGCGGGGACGCGTGTGACATGAGAAGAGCCAGCTTTGCTGTTCCCCATCTTAGCGGGGATGCGTGTGACATGAGAAGAGACGCTTTGTGTGTTCCCCATCTTAGCGGGGACGCGTGTGGCGTTGACCCCTGAGAGGAGAGGAGGCACCTTTTGGCCTGTGCCCCGTCTTCGCTGCAGCTCACCCTTCACTTCTGTCGAGCAGGATTCTGGCTGAGGAGGTTGCTAGGCGCCCTTACTGGCTTGGAGACAGTCCCTTCCATTCCTGATGCACTGAGGGTTTTTTCTGTTTAAAAGATGACTTGATACTGCATTTTGTCAGATGCTTTTGGTCAGATAGTTTTTCCTTAGTCTCTTGATAAGCGCTGGTGGTGTAGCACGTAAGGCATTGGGCTGCTAACCAGGAGGGCAGCATTTCACACCCACCGGCTGCTCTGTAGGAGAAGAGGACGCAGTCTACTTCTGTAAAGGGCTGTGGCCTCAGAATCCCAGTGGGGGTCACCATGGATCGGAATCAGCCCCACGGCAGTGAGTTTTCTTTGGTTTTAGAGTCCACTGATAGAGTGAATTACGTTGAGTGATTTTTGGTTGTTGAACCAGCCTTGTGTTCCAAGGATAAGTCCTACTTGGTCGGGTGTATCACCCTTTTCATATACTTTTCAGAGCTGTGGTGGTACAGTGGTTAAAATGCTCAGCTACTAACTGAAAGGTCAGCGGTTCAAACCCTCCAGCTGCTTGGAGGAGAAAAAGGTGGCAGTCAGCTCCCGTGAGGCTAGACAGCCTAGGAGACCCTGTGGGGCAGTTCCACTCTGTCCTCTAGGGGCGCTGTGGGTCAGAATGGACTCCACGGCAGTGGGTGTGGTTTGGGCTTTGCTTCTGTGAAGATTG